TGTGTGACCTTGGAAAAAGTTATATAACTTCTCTGAGCTCAAGTTTTCCACTTTTAAAAAATGCGGGTTTTTTGGTTTTTGGTTTTTTTGGCTCTACTCCCTGACGAGGGTGTAGTGAGAGTCGCTTTGGATATAAACACGGAACCTCTCATTTTTCTGTTAAGAGCCTCCTTTTCTTATTAATAGTATTTGATGAAGTTTGGGTGCAGAACAAAAATTCTAGTGACAGGGCCATGGATGAGGCCCCAGCCCTGGGCAGAAGTCACTGTGCCAGGTGGATTGGACTCAGATGAGCGGGGGTCGGAGCAGGCTGGTCTGGCAGCATCTCCTGTGGACGGGAGTCTGACCATCCCCGTGGATGTGCTGTGGGTGAACCTGGGGATCCCTGGGGCAAGGATATTCAGCTCATGTCCCAGGCCCCCACTTCTCCCATCCAGCCAGGCTACAGAACCTTGGGGGCGACACCGTGGCCTCCCCATTCTAACCTGCACTTTCTGCACATCTCAGTTGGTAGACCAGATGTACTTCTCGGCCCGTCAGGTAAGCAGGGGTCAGCATGGAGAGGACAGTCACTCCCAGCCCAAGAGGAGACCTGCCAGGCCATTCGGTCAGTTCCAGAATCCACCAAGCTCTGCAGCAGCACGTCCTTGGTCAGCAGTGACATGCCACCATGTGATTTCACCAAGCTATCCAGTCCACGGGTATCTGTGGAGTGTCCCTTCCATGCAGAGACCTCTGGAGATGCAGTGGGGATCCTAGCAGGTCATCTGCTGCCCTCACTGGAACGCACAACCTGTTTGGGGGACACAGACACTAACCACACATCACACACGTGAATGTGAAATTTCAGGGTTAGTCAGTTCAGTGAGGGTCTCGTGTTGACCTGGCCACCTCCGATGGCATTTCAGAAAATAATTATTCTGTGGGGCTCGGTTTCCTCATCAGGAAAGAGTAGGTTGGGCTCGGATTCTGCACTGTCCGGTATTGCCGTTGACTACATGTAGCTATTTAGATTGAAATTAATAAAAATGGAATAAAAAGTCAATTCCTTAGTTGGACTAGCTCTGTTTCAAGTGCTCAGAAGTCATATGTGAACACGCTTTGGCAATTCCTCCAAAAACTAAAAATAGAACTCCTAGATGACCCAGCAATTTCGTTTCTGGGTATATATTCTAAAGAAGAGAAAGCAGGGTCTTAGAGATAAAGAGATGTTCACACCCACGTTCATAGTCACATCACTGACAGGAGCTGGCAGGTGGAAACAGCCCACATGTCCATGGACAGGTGAATGGGTGAATAAAATGTGGCACATACATACAAGGAATATTATTCAGCCCTAAAAAGGAAGGAAATCCTGGCACGTGCTACAGTGTGGATGAGACTTGAGGACATTTTAAGTGAAATAAGCCAGACACACAAAGACAAATACTGTATGACCCCACTCAAGTGAGGTTCCTAGAGTGGTCAGATTCATAAAGACAGAAAGCAAAATGGAAGTCACCAGGGGCAGGGTGGAGGGAAGATGGAGAGTTGCCTAATGAGTACAGAGTTTCAGTTTTGCAAGATGAAAAAGTGCTGGCGATTGGTGAGAATATTCTTAATGATACTGAACTGTACACTTAAAAATGATTAAGGCTGGGCACGGTGGCTCATGCCCGTAATCCCAGTGTTTTGGGAGGCCAAGGTGGGAGGATTGCTTGAGGCCAGAAGTTCAAGACCAACCTGAGTAACATTGTGAGACCTCTATCTCTACCCAAAAATAAATTAATGAATTAAAACAACCTTAGCTGGGAGTGGTGGTATGCCCTTGAAGTTCCAACTGCTTGGGAGGCTGAGGCAGGAGGATCCCTTGAACCCAGGAGTTTGAGGCTTGCAGTGAGCTATGATCGTACCACTGCACTTCAGCCTGGGCAAGACAGTACAAGACCTTATCCCTAAAAAAAAAAAAAAAGTTAAGATAGTAATTTTACCACCGCTAAAAGGAAAAGTTGCATATGGCCTGCCATACTGGACAGCACAGGGCCAGGACATGACCATCGTGACAGTGATGGATGTCCTCATTACCATCCCATCTCGCCAATCTGAGCACCCCGGGGTCCTGGGACCAGGTCCTGAGTGACTCTCTGGAGAACAGGGATTCAGTTCACTAAAGTGTTTCTGGGAGCATGGTGTCTTCTTATCCCCCACGGGAGTCCCGAGGGCAAACCCCAAAGCCCTCCTCGCCAGACAGGGGCCGGGGCTCTCTGTGCCTGCAGGCAAGGAGGGCCTGGGGAGGGCTTGCAGGAATGGCCCTCACCTGTGCAGAGGGCCAGAAGCTTCCGAGTCTGTGGGAAGGATGGGGCTCGTCTGTTTTTATTATTATTTCTCAAACAGGGCCCCTGGTGGGCAGGATGTTTGGTTTGGTTGAATTTCTGCAGTGAGCGTGGTGTCCGTGGAGGGGCCTGGCTGGAGCCCAGGCCCGAACCTTACCGGCTCCGGGCTCCAGGGCCCGCTGGGGCATTAAGGGAGAGTTCAGGGGGCAGCGCCTCCCCCTGGGTCCTGCTGGGGGAGGGGGCGGGGCTGGCCCCAGTCCTGGGCGGAATGGCTCCAGACCCACAGACAGATGGAAGCAATTTTGGTCACGTGGGCCGGGGCTGAACTGCAGCGGCACAAGGCAGGGCCCCACGTCTGGCTCCAGGAAGCGGGCCCCCAAGCCACATGTTCTGGGGCCAGATGCAGCGCTGCGTCTTTGTTTATTTAAAGATGCTGGAAGCCCAGGGGAGAATATTTCTGAAGGGGGAGCAGAAGCAAATGCCTCGAAGCCTTGCAAGCTGTTTCCCGCCTGGCTGGGGTGGGGATGGGGGCAGGGGCGCGGGTAGGCGTGTCGCCGCCAGGCCAGGAAGGGAGCCCCTGGCAACAGGGGGCCTGCCTTTGGTTACCGTTGTCGGGAGTGAAGGTTTGTGGGCCCCGCTGGCGATTCCTGGCAATTTTATATGCAAGTTATATCGTTCCGCTGTTCCCCGATTCCATGAAGTAGGAATTCTTATGCCCTGTGGACGCTGAGAAAACGGTCGTGGAGGCCCTGATGCAGGAATCAGGCTAAAAACCAGCCACCCCCAGTTTCTGGCTTACAAAGTCCATCTTTTCCTTTTTCACCTCCTGCCCTGCCTAAGGCCTGGGGGTGGGGGTGAGGAGGGGAAGAGGGCGGAGGGAGCATCCTCCCACCCCCTCCTCCGATACTCCAGTAACAGCATAAAGAGGGCTGGAGCCAGCTGGGGACTGGGGCTCAGGCGGGTGGGCTCGGTGAGCGCTTCCTGAGTCTGGTGTTGCCCCAGGAAGTGGAGGGCAGTGGAACCATAGCACAGCCTGAAGGCGAGGGGGCCCTTGCGGCCTGGGAGCCTGTCTTCCACTGCTCCCCAGGCCTGGTGAGGCGGGGCAGCAGGCTGGTCTGTGAAGGCTGCCCACGCCCTGGCTGCCACAAGGGTCTGCTCCCCTGTGGCTGCCTCCTCCGGCTCATCCCAGAGATCAGCCACCCCTCCCGGAGGAGGAAGCATTGGAACACACTGTGTGGTCCCTGCCTTTGAGCTCCATGCGAGAGCTCCGAGTCCCCCATGAGGCCGGATCCTCCCTGGGAGGCAAGATCCACCAGAGTGTCCTTCTTGGAGGGCACAGGGGCGGGAAGAGCCTAGACTCGCCAGAGTGGGGAGCTGAGGGCTGGCAGGGGACAGCTCCAACTCGCGGGGACTCTAGGACTGGCCGCCTCTGTGTTCGGGGTGTGTCTGTGCCGTCACACTGTGGATTTGGCGTGTCTGGGAGTGCGTGCCAGCCAGACCCTGCTGGGAACCAGCACCCTCCTGGGTGGCTTGAGTACCCCACTGGGTGGGGGTACCTGGGTCCCCAGCAGGTGCCTTCTGGGTGTCCTCCCCCCACCCCAGGTCTCTGACTCACCTGTAGATTCCTCAGGGCAGTCAGGGGAGGGGCCTGGAAAGGAGGAAGGCTCAGCCCAGCTTGGTGGCTCAGCCTGTAATCCCAGCACTTTGGGAGGCCGAGGCAAGTGGATTGCCTGAGCCCACGGGTTCCAAACCAGCCTGGGCAACTTGGGCTGCGATAAAAAATAAACTTGTCCTACAATAAAAAATAAAAATAAAAAATAAAAAATCAGGCAGGCGTGGTAGCGTGCACCCGTAGTTCTGGCTACTTGGAAGGCTGAGGTGGAAGGATCGCCAGAGCCCAGCAGGTTGACACTGGGGTGGCTGTGAACGTGCTACTGCCCTCCAACCTGGGTGATGGAGTGAGAGTCCAACTCAAAAAAAAAAAAAGAGAATAAAAGAGAGGAAGGCGCTCACTTCTCACCTACAGGTGGAAGAAGCTTGAATTACTTGGAGCAGTTTAGCTGCACCTGCTCGTCCTCCTTGCCTGCAGGTGTGGGGCCCAGCAGTCAGGCGTCATAGGAGGGACCCGGTGCTGGTTCCATCCCTCCCTTCGGAAGGCAAATACAGGACTGCTCCTCCTTGGTGTCTCAGCTCCCCCGTGGGCCTCTGAGGACTTCACACTGCAGCAGATGTTGCGGTTTACCTGAGCCAGGGGTGCAGGAGAGGGAGAGATCCAGCTGGGTGGCCAAGGCAGCATGGAGGCCAGGACCAAGCGCTCACCACCCCGCCTGAGCAGAGAGAGAGATTCAGGGGTCAGCCCTGCCCTGAACCCGGGGGTGGGGGTGGGGAGAGCTAGATTGGCACAGCTGATAGAGATTAAGAAACACGGCTGAGTTGGGAGTCAGGGTGGGGCTTTGCAGGAGAAGCAGAGTGGCTGCAGGACAGTGGCCTTTAGATGACACTGGGGCCAGGGGCTTCTGCTCTAGGGCATTCTGCAGGGGTCTCCTGGGCAGTTTGTTAGTCTCTCTGAACCTCAGTTTCCCCATCTTGGAATGGGGATGTCGGTCAGAGCCGCCTGACAATGTCCGTGTTTTGCAAACGCCTGCGTGAGCCCTGCCACTGTCTCATCCTCCGCTCTTCCCTCTCCAGCCACTGAGGCGGCTCCTAGCTGTGTGGGCGACATGGCCGACACTCCCAGAGACGCTGGGCTCAAGCCAGCACCCGCGCCGCGCAACGAGAAGGCCCCGGTGGACTTCGGCTATGTGGGGATCGACTCCATCCTGGAGCAGATGCGCCGAAAGGCCATGAAGCAGGGCTTTGAGTTCAACATCATGGTGGTTGGTGAGTCCCCCCACCCCTCACGGGACCAGCCAGCCTCAGCACCCAGGGCCAGTCGCACAAGCTCTCGGGCTCAGTCTTCCCTTCTGTAAAACGGGGCAACAGTCCTGGCCTCAAGGGGAGATTGCCAGTGCCGTCGTGTGTGCGTACAGGTGCCTGGGAGGAGATGCCACAACCTCCGGCAGCTCTCAGTGGCCTCTGCCCCCACGTGAAGAGCCCCCGAGATAACCCGGGTGAGCCCAGGGCCAGCCCTGGCAGGCCCTCGGGACTGGTAGCGCTCTGACCAGGGTCATCACCTTGTATGTTGAATTCCTGCGAAAGCTTCCCCTTCATGGCTCCAGCCTGACCCCCAGCACCCAGCCGGCCTGGCTGGACGCTTCCACGCCCAGGAAGTGGGGCCTTGTGGCTTCAACACCCCCAGGGAGCCAGGGAGCTGGACCTCACCAAGGGAGGTCATTGATCAGCCGGGGCCGGGCTGGGGTTCACTTTTTTCTGAAGCCTCTCGGGTCCCATTTCTCACAGGGGCCCCATGAAGGAGGCACCCCATTTTCCAGGTAGAAACAAGGCCCAGGGAAGGTTGAGGGGCCTCACTGGCTCATGGGGCAGAGAAGACCAGAGCTCCCATTTTGACTCCAGGACTGTGCTCTGCTCAGTCCACAGGCCAGCCAGAGTGTCTGAAGAAGTGCCCCCCACAGGCTCTAACCCTAAACACAGGTGAGCCTGGTGGGGCTTCCTCTGCAAGGTGTCTTGGCCTGTCTCTCTGACCTCTGCTGGTCAGGCACTTCCTTGCTGCCCAGCCCCGCGGGCACAAACCCACAAACACCTGACTGCTGGAGACTGTTTTTTTTGTTTTGTTTTGTTTTTTGAGTTGGAGTCTCACTCTGTCGCCCAGGTTGGAGGGCAGTGGCATGCTCATGACCATGGCAGCCTTGACCTGGTGGGCTCTGATGATCCTTCCACCTCAGCCTTCTAAGTATCCAGAACTACAGACACACGCTACCACACCTAGCTAATTTTTTTTTTAATGTACTGTGGAGACGAGGTCTCGCCAAGTTGCCTGGGCTGGTCTTGAACTCGCAGGCTCAGGCAATCCACTCACCTCGGCCTCCCAAAATGCTGGGATCACAGGCTGAACCACCGAGTCCGGCCCAGAGATAAACTTTAAAACATCCCACTTGGCCTCTCCCTGATCTAAGGTGCTATGGCGGGAACACCCATGTTGCTCTTGGCCTGAACTTGGCCAGGACACAGGCAGATGGGCAGAGGGGGATGGGCACATCCTCAGGCTACAGAATAGCCCAGGCAGGGGAGATTCCCAGCACTCTGTCCTGGGAGCCCACGCTCTTCCTTGAACAGTGTTAGCAAGTCAGCACGTCGGTGTAACTTAGGGTGTTGTTAGCTTAACCTAGGGTGTGACTTAGGCAGTTTTCTCTTTAAGTATGCTTGCTGGCACAGCCCAGGGCAGCTTTGTGCAGTGCAAAGCGGTGGGCCCCGAGGCTGACATTGTGTTTGTGTATGAATTGTATGTGTATGAGAGTTGTATGTGTTGTGTGCTGTGTTGTGCGTGTTCTGTGTGTATGTGTGTCTGTGCAGTTGTGTGTGTGTGTGTGTGTGTGTGTGTGTGAGAGAGAGAGTCCTGACACCACCTCCCAGACTGGATCCCACTTTTGGGCCAACACCAATGGCACTTGGTAACCGCAGACCCCACGTGACAAGTGTGAGCCCACCAGATGCTCACACAGGCTCCACAGGGGGGAGGGTTGTTTATCCCACCTTATTGATGAGGAAACTGAGGCACAGTGAGGTTGGATGACTTTCCCGAGGCCCCAGTGGGTCAGGGAGGAGCAGCCTGAGCACCTGAGGCTGCACTCGATTGTCACTTGTGTGTCCCGGGAGCTCCTCCAGTGCCTGCCTCTGCCCTCAACCCACCCCCAGGAGACCGTGTCCTGGAAGACACAAGGGAGCACAAGGGATTCCCACTCCCCAGGCCCGAGGGTGCCCGGACAGTCCCTTCTCAGGAGTGGCCTCTGTGGCTGAGGCTTACCTGGGACCGGAGCCTGGCCGTGTGGGTGTCCAGGTCACTTGACACCAGACTGTGAGGGTGAAGCCTTCGGACATGGTCTGCCTGGCAAGAGAGCCGCCGGGTGTCAGCCCAGGCACCACGGAATTACCCAGGGAGCCACGGAACCTGGGCGGGAGGGGACCCCTCTAAAGAGCCCGCTGACCTGCCTGCTGTTCTCCCCCAGGGCAGAGTGGCTTGGGAAAGTCCACTTTGATCAACACCCTCTTCAAATCCAAGATTAGCCGGAAGTCGGTGCAGCCCACTTCAGAGGAACGCATCCCCAAGACCATCGAGATCAAGTCCATCACACACGGTCAGTGGCGTGGGTGAGGACGCCCCTTCCTCCCTGGAGTGTGGGTGCGAGGGTGCCCCGGTCCTCGAGCCAGAGACTCTCATGACCCCCCAGTCAGGCCAAGACTCTGGAGTGTCCTAGCCGTGAGGAGTCAGTCTGCTCTGGACCCCTGTGGGCTCTGTCACATGAAGCCCCCGCAGATAACTCAGTTTTCTACCAAAACTCACAGGCCAGGAACCAGGATCACTCTCCAGCCTCTGCTGGGGTTGTTTGCTAGAGATCGCCATCACCATACTCCCAGCATCCCATCAGCGATCATTGCTGCCCCCAGCAGATGTCCTGGGGTTGGTCAGGCATGGGGTGTCTGAAGGTCCCCGGTCTCCCTCTGAGCCGAGCGCTTTGGTTCTGTGCAGACATCGAGGAAAAGGGCGTCCGGATGAAGCTGACGGTGATCGACACGCCGGGCTTTGGGGACCACATCAACAATGAGAACTGGTGAGGGGCTCCCTGGCCCTGGGGGTGCAGGGCTGGTCTGCTTGGCCCTGAAGCCATTTGCCTCGGGGGCCTGAGAATTCTGGGCCAGGGCAGAGATGCCCTGAGAGTCCTGCTCTCCCCACCCGCTTTCAAGGTTGAGGTCAGGTCAAGGTCAGCACGGGGAGGCCAGTTTGAGCTCTAGGATAAGGCTGTGGGATCTCTGCTCAGAAAGCCAGACCTCCCCAGCGAGTGGCTGGAAGGCAGGGAGTTGGGCTGCGAGTCCTGGGAGCTAGTGACTCGCGGGCGGTGGGGCTGTCCCCAGCCGGGGGTCCTGGGTGGGAGGACACGTGCTTGGGCAGGAGGGGCCGTCTGTGGCTCACCGGGTGCCCTTTGCAGCTGGCAGCCCATCATGAAGTTCATCAACGACCAGTATGAGAAGTATCTGCAGGAAGAGGTCAACATCAACCGGAAGAAGCGCATCCCGGACACGCGCGTCCACTGCTGCCTCTACTTCATCCCGGCCACTGGCCACTCGTACGTCCCGGCCGCATCCCATGTCCTCATGGGGGTGCCCTGGGTTTCGTGCTCTTGCGATAGGCAGGCAGTGTCATCTGGCCCCCTACCAAGCACGGCGGGGCAGGGGGCCCTCGGGGCCCTGGTCAGCAGCTGTTAAGGGGTCCCTAGAGTCTCACTCTGACCTCTGCGCTGTGTAGCTTCCAGCCCCGCCACCTGTCAGCTCATGTCTGGTGTCACTGAGGACCAGGCAGGGCCAGAGCTGTTTCAGAACCCGGTGTTCTGTGTCTCAGCCCATGCTGCCTTCTCTGGCCAGGCCTGCAGCCGGGCTCTGGCTGAGTGTGCTGGGACTCCCCCCAGCCAGGACCCTTAGCACTTGCCTGACCCTCTTGTGCCAGGGCCCTGCCTCATGGGACCCTTGCAAGGTTTGGTGCATTCTTAACGGGAAGCACAGAGACCAGGGCCGGCCCCTGTGGGACTGGACAAGGGCCACCGTTTGTCGGGGCGGCCTCGGTGGAAGCCCTCCCTCCCTCCAGTCTTCTCCCAACCTGAAGTTACACCCGAGGTCAGCAAGGCCAGGAAGTCAGGGATGTCCTGGCAGGTGGACACTTGATGGCCTGGCAAGCTTTCTGTCCTCAGCTCCCCATGGACTCCACATAACTCCCGATGCACAGGTGCCTCTCCCCCCACCCCCCGACCAGACCCCCTGCGGCTTGCCCTGAGTCGTGGGTGGGGGGAGTCAGACCCAGGGCCTGGGAGGCAGCCATAGGTGGTACGTCACCTGGGGGTGGACGGAGAGGGAGAGCTGGGGCTCAGAGCCCAAATGGCCAGGGTCCGGGAGGCTGCTGGCTGGCTCCACAGTCTGAGTCTGGCTCTCCTTGCCTGGTCCAGATGCCCTTCCAGAGGTTGGGGGGGAATCAGACCTCGGGGCACCAGGTACAGGAAGGAACCCAGCCAGCAGGCAGCAAACCTCAACCAGGGGTCTTCATGAGAAAGCCTGAGCCCCAAACCCGCTCCGGTGTCATCCCCATGGGCCAGCAGGAGCCCATTTAGGGGCAGAGGTCTCTCACTGGCAGGCTTCTGGGTGGGGATCTGCCCACAGGGCCGGATGAGGCTTTCTGTGAGCCAGACATCTGCCCCCCTGGGCTGAGTGGCTTGTCGGGGGTCCTGCAGCAGCTTGGCCTTGGCTGAGACCACCGATGAAGTGCCAGCCCTCTGGGTGGGACCCCCGCTGGGCATGGTTCCCAGGTCCCATCCCTGGTGTCCAGCCCTGTGGGACAATGGTGGCTCTTGATGACCACCTTTGCTTAAACTTCTTGTGGAGCCTGGCTCTGCCCTGGCTGTGTCTGCGACTGATTTCTCTCACTGTGGCGGAAGCCCCACTCCAGTGGGAAGTTGAAACCACCCGTCCTAGGGTCCTGCCAGCCCCATCCCCCTCACCTTTCCGCCTGCCAGACCACAGGCTCACAGAGCCTAATGGTCAAGGGGAGAGGCCAGTCTGTCACAGGACAATGGGCATTGGCTTCCATGTCTCCTGCCTCTGCCTTCCCGAAGGCCCACAGCAGGATGGCCATGTGGGCCCATGACAGCCCTCTGTGTGGACTCGTCGGGGGGCATTTGGGACTCGGGAACCCACAGCCGCCCCTGCCCACCTGCCCAGCTCAGTGGTACTGCTTGTGCTGGGGCACGTCTTCTCCTTCCCCGCCCTGCACTCGTGGTGTGGCCGGACCTTGTCCTTGCCAGCAGGGACCCTCCCGTGAGCCCAGACCTGGCACTCGAGAGCCTTCTCCTTGGCCTGCGAAGTGGTGGCCGTCCCTCATTCCTGGAGCCGAGTCTCACTTGCCCCATCTGTCTCAGCCTCAGGCCCCTGGACATTGAGTTCATGAAGCGCCTGAGCAAGGTGGTGAACATCGTCCCAGTCATTGCCAAGGCCGACACACTGACCCTGGAGGAGAGGGTCTACTTCAAGCAGCGGGTAGGCCTCCCCCTGGCCCCATGGGGCAGCCTGGAAAAGCTGCAGGCCTGGCAGGGGCCAGGTGGCTGGGGTACATCTGGTCACTTTTCACAGCGGGTGGCCAGCCTGGGGAGAGTCCCTGTCCTGGGTGGCTGCTGGGGGCTGTCCACCTCCCTCTGTCCTCAGAAGCAGCATTGTGAGGGGCCCATTCTCAAGCAAAGTCTCTGAGGCTCAAGGTCTGGGGTTTGGAAAAGACAGGGACCCGACAGTTGACAGATCTCACATCCAGGGACTGAGGCCATGGAGGGCCCATCGGACACAACCTGCTTGGCTTTTATTAGATGGACAAAGGGGACAGTCTGCATGGGGACAAGTGTCTACTGCTTCCTTCTCTGCCATGATCCAAGGCTCCGGCCGGTGGGGTGGGGGGGTGTCGAGCAGGGGGGCAGTCCCTGGGCCCCCACCTCCTAGCGGGCGGCAGGTCAGTCCTCCTGGAGGACTTAGAAACCACGGTGCCTGGGCCTTGGCACAGCGTCTGCCGCTAATGTACTCCAACCTGGGCCTTCCACCTGGGGCAGGGCATCGAGATTTTCCCAGCATGCTCGGGGGAGGATGGGTCACCTCGCAGTGGGTGCAAAGAAACGAGAAGCCTGGAGCCTGGGCTTGGGTCTGCTGGGGCAGGCATGCTGGCCGTGGCCATTGAACACCTGGTGCGGCAGGGAGCTATCAGGGCACCGCTGGGCTGCAGGAGGGACCCATGCTGGAAGAGGGTTTCTAGGGCTGGTGGCACTGCAGCAGCCCCTCCTGCCCTAGGGGCACAGGAGTTGGAGAGCGTCAGGGTCACAGCCCTGGAGGCCGCCCTTGACCCTGAGCCTGGGGCAGCTCGAGCGGTGGGCAGATGCCGGCGGGTGGGCACAGCTTGCTGCAGGGATGTGCCCACATATGCCCTCCCGACTCCAGATCACCGCAGACCTGCTGTCCAACGGCATCGATGTGTACCCCCAGAAGGAGTTTGATGAGGACTCGGAAGATCGGCTGGTGAATGAGAAGTTCCGGGTGAGTCCCACGGCAGGATGTGGCAGGGTGGGGGGTGGCTCCTGCCCTGTCTGAGGGTTTAGGGGAGGCGGCCGGATGGCCTTGAGCCATGAACATGTATTCTCTGGGCGGAGAGGGGCTGGAGCTCAGGGTCCACACCCGGCTCTCTCGGAGGCTTTTAGTTCTGGGGGTCCTGGGCTCAGGGCAGCTGCTCCCAAGGGCCCCGGGGAGGGACTGGCCCGCCCACACATGCGTGACCGGCACCCGTGCCCGTGCCCGTGCCCCTGCTCCTTCCCCAGGAGATGATCCCGTTTGCCGTGGTGGGCAGTGACCACGAGTACCAAGTCAATGGCAAGAGGATCCTTGGGAGGAAGACCAAGTGGGGTACCATTGAAGGTATGCACAGCGGCTGCTGGGCTTCTGGCGGGTTAGCAAGATGATCACCCCCATTCTATCCATGGGAAGATGAGAGGGCCCAGGGGCTTGTCCTGGAGCCTCCGCCCTGGGTCTCCCAGGGAGGCGGGAGCTAGGAAGGGGCCAAGTTCTCGGTGCTGATGCTGGCAGTTCCAAAGGCATCTGTGTGACCCTGGGCAAATCGCCCAGCCTCTCTGTGCATAGAAGAGGGCTAGACTGTAGCTCTGTCCGGCTCTGAGAACCAGGTGCACCCTCGAACCTTCTCCCTGCCAGAGTCCCTGGGACACCCACCTCTCAGGGTCCTGTGGCTACAGCAACAGATTAGTACAGTCTAGAGGACTTATAACAACTTATATGTGTCCTCACAAGCCCAGAAGCTGGAAGTCCAAAGACCCGGTGTTCTGGAGTTGGTTCCTCCGAGGCTCTGAGGGAGGATCTTTGCCGGGCCTCCCTCCTCTGGTGGCTCCTGGAAATCTCTGGCATCCCTTGGCTTGTGGATGTGTCACCCTAATTCCTGTGCCATTGTCGTAGGGCCACCTTCCCTGTGTGTCTGTGTCTCCCCCTATTTTTTTCTTTTTTTCCTTTGTGAGTCAAGGTCTCACTTTGTCACCCAGGCTGGAGTACAGTGTCATGATCACAGTTCACCACAGCCTGCACCTCCAGGGTTCAGGCACTCATCCTGCCTCAGCCTACTGAATAGCTGGGACTACAGGTGCGTGCGCACCACTATGTCCGGCTAGTTTTTTAAAAAATTTTTTTGTAGATCTGAGGTCCCGCTGTTGCCCAGACTGGCCTTGAACTGGGCTCAGGCAGTCCTCCCAAAGTGCTGGGATTACTGGCGTGAGCCACTGCGCCCGGGCTGTCCCCCTCCAGGACACCTGTCATTGGATTTAGGACCCACTCTGGATGGATGATCTCATCTGGAGATCCTGAACTTAATTCATCTCCAAAGACTTTTTCCAAGTGAGGTCACAGGCACCAAGGGCTACGACTTGGATGTATGTTTTCTCAGGGGCACAATTCTGCCCCGACCGGCATGACACCCCAAGTGGGACGGGCCTGGGTGCTTATTATCCTGTCTTTGTTCCTTCCTTCTGCAATAGAATGGAGACTGAAGACAGCAAAGTGAGGAGGGAAAGCCACTCTTTCCTTCTTTTCTTTCTCCCGCCTACTCCTCCCCCCGCTTCTCCTCCCCTCTCTCTCTATATTTTGAGTTGGGGGCTCATGCTGTGGCCCAGGCTGGAGTGCAATGGCATGATTACAGCTCCCTGCAGCCTCTACCTCCGGGGACCAGGCAACTTTCCTTCCTCAGCCTCCCAAGTAGCTGGGACTACGGGTGCACACCACCACACCCAGCTAAATTTTTCATTTTTTGTAGAGACAGAATCTCACTACCTTGCCCAGGATGGTCTCGAACTCTTGGGCTCAAATGATCCTCCCTCCTTGGCCTTCCAAAATGCTGGGATTGCAGGCATGAGCCACCGCACCGCGCCTGTCTCTTGAGAGCCACTTGGCAGGAAGGCCCTGCTCTGTGAGTTTAGGCAAGCCTCTCACTCCTCCAGGGCTCGCTTTTCACCATCCACAAAGTGGGTGCAGTGTGTGAAGATATTAGCAAGTGGAGAGAGTGGCCCAAAGACCACTGGAGCTTTTGGGGGAGCAGTTGCTCTAAGAAACTGGTCACAGTGACCACTGCTGTCTCACTAGACTTGGGTTATCTCGTTTAATGCTGGGAGCTCCCGGCTCCCTTACAGATAGGAAGTCAGCAAGGCTGAAGACCCGCAGGGGGTCCCAGAACCGAGTTCATGCCCTCAGGACTTGGGGGGGGGTCTGTCCTCCTCCCCTCCCCCACTCCCGCTGAGCCCACGGTGTGGGAGCCTGTGGGCCAGGGGCAGCCTCTGCCTGGGTGTTTTCCGGTATCCGCCTGCAGTGTCAGGCCTTCCCCTGGGCTCCTTCCCCTCCCCACCTCCTCTTCCAGTTCCTGTCTCCCTCTGCCCAAAGAAATCAGGCTTTGGAGGGCTGCAGGGACTTGGGAGGGGCCGGCCACCCAACAATTGGCATGTCTCTGCCGCCCCCTGGTGGCCGACCTTGGGCACTGCGGGCAGTCCTCACAAACTCGGGAAATGCTTGAGGTGGCAGTCCCTGTTCCTCTCTGACTTGTGCCTTGTGGGTGGACCCTTGGGAGAATGGGACCCTTGGCACCTGTCAGGACGGTTGAGAGGTAGCGGTTCCCACGTCCCAGCAGCCTTCGGTGAGAACACCAGTGGACTTCCAGATCAGGGACCTCGTGAGTTGGTAACTGACCTGAGCACCGGCCGGTGGTGATCCCCCGGCCCATGTGGTTGAGTGCTTTGCTTCGTTCCCGCCTCCTACCTGGTGCGTGCCGTCTTGAAGGGTCTTCCCATCCTCAGAAGCCACCTCAAGTATTCTAAGAGGAAGGATACCATTTAGTCCTCCCATCCTCGAGAAGTGGGTGCCATTATCGCCTCCATTTTACGGACCAGGAAACTGAGGGTCCGGAATTATTTGCTCTGGCCAGGTAGTAGAGAACACACACTCAGACTCTGACTTGAGGGCTCTGTTCTTCCTCCCAGCTCTCACTGACTCTCAAACTTAGATGAAAAACGCGTGCGTGCGTGCGTGTCAGTCAGCAGAAGGTCCTAGAGGGGACGCAGCCCCGCAGGGGTGGGGACCTGGGAGAGAAAGCTGGTAAGAGGCCGCTGGACTAGAAACAAGAGCACTCAAGGGCTGAGTTCGGTGGGTGCCTTTGCCTGGCCCCAGCCCAGCCCAGCCCCCACCTTTCCTGCTGGCTTATCAAGCCCGAACCAGGCCTTTTAACTTGGAGATAAGCCACATGGCTTCGGGATGGGACAGCCTGTAGCCAGCATACGGGATCCAAATCCTGTTCCGGCCCCGTGAGCTGTGGAGCCTCGACAGGCACGTGTCTTGCCTTCTCTGAGCCCCATTTCTTAGGATGACAGGAGAAGGGAGTGTAGCAGAGGTCTCGCAGGGAGTGTGGAGATTGGCTTAACGGTACACGGGAGAGTCCCTGATGCCTTTTCATTTGCCACCTCTGCCTGGCTGCCCTGCTTGTGATGTCACTCATGGCCCCTCCTCCCCCATTAAAGGATCTTCTGTTTTATAACAATTATGCACGCTAGGCAACGTGTGTTCACATGTAAGCTGTGAAGGTTAGCAATTAGATGACCATTCTGAAGCTGGACACAGCAGCTCATTCCTATAATCCCACCACTTTGGGAGGCTGAGGTGGGAGGTTCGCTTGAGGCCAGGAGTTTGAGACCAGCCTGGGTAACATAATGAGACTTCTGTCTCTACAAAAAATAAAAATAAAATTAGCCGGGTGTGGTGGCACGTGCCTGTAGTCCCAACTGCTCAGGAGGCTGAGGCAGGAGGATCCTGCGAGCCCAGGAGTTTGAGGCTGCAGTGAGCTGTGATTGTGCCACTGCACACCAGCCTGGTGACAGAGTGAGACCCTGACTCTTAAAAAAAATAATAACCAGTTTGGGATGGCCACCAGCTCAGCCCGTGGGCACCTATGGACTCCTCCCTACCTTATCTTAGTGTCCTCCAGGAGTGACCACTGTCCTGAGCATGTGTTTGTCACCTTCTTGGGCGCCATGTGTTTTATGCTGTGCGTGTGTCCCTAAGCAGTGTTTGGTTTTGCTGGTTCTTGCTACAAGTGGTAGCCATGAGTGTACATACATGTTTTGTGCACGTTTCCTGAGCACAGGTGTGTTGGGCGAGGCCGTGCGGGATAACACTCAGCGGGCCACTGGTTTTCTTTAAAATTCCAGCTCTGGGCTGGGCTTGGTGGCTCAGCCTGTAATCCCCCACTTTGGGAGGCCGAGGTGAGTGAATTGCCTGAGCCCATGGGTTCGAGACCCGCCTGGGCAACTTGGTGAGACCTCATCTCTACAATAAATCAAAAATTAGCTGGGCGTGATAGCGCGTGCCTGTAGTTTCAGCTACTTGGAAGGTTGAGGCGGAAGGATCGCCGGAGCCCAGCAGGTCGAGGCTGCAGTGGCCGGGAGCAGCTACTGTACTCCAGTCTGAGTGACAGAGGGAGACTCCAACTAAAAAAAAAAAAAAAATTCCAGTTCTGGCCACGTGCGGTGGCTCACGCCTATAATTCCCAGCACTTTGGGAGGCCAAGGTGGTAGGATCGCTGGGGCCCAGGAGTCTGTGACCAGCCTGGGCAACATAGCAAGACCTTGCCTCTACAAAAAAAAAAAATCAAAAAACTGGCCAGGCATGGTGACCTGTATCTGTAGTCCCAACTACTCAGGGGGCTGAGGCAGGAGGATTGCCTGAGCCCAGGAGGTCAGTGCTATGGTGAACTGTGATCGTGCCCCTGCACTCCAGCCTGGGGACAGAGTGAGACCTCAGCTCCAAAAAAGTAAATGCATAAGATGAAACTTCCACTCCGATTCCCGCCTCATCCCATTCCTGGCAGTCCCACCGACCTGTTTTCAGGCCTCTGCTGGGATGGCCTCCTCCTCCCGGGAGTCCTCCCTAGTCACCCCAGGGGCGCAGGGGCCCTCCTGCCCTGCTGTCCTCAAGTGTGGCTTTTCTCCCATACTCCCGTCTTGGCTGGCCACTGCGCCGTCTCCCTGCTGGCCCAGAGCCTCCTGGGAAGCAAGAGCTGGTCTGTCCAGCCACCCCGGTGTCCCCAGGACTGAGCAGTGCCAGGTGCCTCCCAGGTGCCCAGCACTCACCCATAGAGCAGGTGACTCCCCTGCCTCGCCTGTGCGCCTGCCCAGGGGACGGCCCTCGGAAGCTGCTCTTGGCACTGGCATTGCTGTGTGGGAGCGGAAAGGTGGGGCCTGGGAGGGGCCTCCCCGCCAAGGCACTAAAGCCCCTTCTGTCTCCTCTCCTCAGTTGAAAACACCACACACTGTGAGTTTGCCTACCTGCGGGACCTTCTCATCAGGTGAGACAGCGGCTGGAGGTGGGGCGAACAGCCTTTGTCCCTCCCCTCACCCCCCCCTACAGCAGGCGTGGGAGGTCGTTGCAGGGCTGAGGCGCTGGCAGGCAGACACATCCTTCCACCTGCCCGCCCTGTCTCGGGAAGATCCCGGAAGCCCGTTGGAAATGAAGGGGTGAAATCCTTTTCAGCCCGTCTGAGGTCCCTTGGGCAGGCAGGCGGGCTGGGTTCTGACCCACGGTGGCCCGGGCCCCTTAGAGTTGGCTGGTGACTTTTGGGGGTCCCTGGAGGTCTCACGTGCAGGTCCCGGCCGAGGGAAGGGGGGTCCTCAACTCTGATCCCAGCAGCCTCGGACCTTGACCCTAAGACTTGGCTGAGGCTTCTGCTTGTTCCTCTGAACCCGGGCGAGGAGGGGAATCCCTGGAGCAGCAGCCCTGGCCTGGGCAGGTGAAGGCAGGGTGTGGGCCTCCCGCCATGGGCACCAGGCTCCCAGCTCCTTCTCCGGCCTGCAGGGAGGATGGATGTGGGATTGATGTCAAGAGGAGGGGCCTCCAGGCGGGCGGGGACCAGGGACTTCTTGGAGAGCTTGGTTTTTCCAACTTCCCTTTCCAAATGCTTCCTTTTGAGCTGCCCAGGGCCCAGGACTTTGTTTCCTGGGGTCAAGGTGGACCCAGACCTCCACGCCAGGCCACCTGCCTACCGCAGGCCACAGTCGGCAGGGCTAGTGGTCGTCCCCTACATCCCGTCTGCCAGCACCTGGACAGAGACCCTCCAGCCCTGCCCTCCGAGGCTAGGCCCCTGGCAACTGAGCCTCTGTCCCTGGGTGGGCCCTGGACGAGCCCTGGGAGGACACAGAGAGAGGGAGACGTGTGCGTTGCAACACGTGTGTCCTGAGTGTCTGGGGTCATGGGGAAGACTGACTCCTCCCCACCTTGTGCCAAGGCCTGATGTCAAGAGGAGGGGCCTCCAGGTGGGTGGGCGAAAGATGTCTAAAGAGCATCCTCTGGGGGACCCCATGGGGAGCCAGGCAGTGGAGGTGGCAGTAGGGAGGGGCAGGCGGGCATGTGACCCCGACTGGGCTGCATGGAGCCGCCTGCTGACCCGCTTGCCCCTCCAGGACACACATGCAGAACATCAAGGACATCACCAGCACCATCCACTTTGAGGCTTACCGCGTGAAACGTCTCAACGAGGGCAACAGCGCCATGTCCAACGGCGTGGAGGAGAAGGAGCCGGAAGCCCAGGAGATGTAGACACCTCCCTGCCCCCTGGACCCTGCCCCAGTCTTTCCCTCCCCCCCAGACCCGCCCACTTGCCCCATTTTATTTTATATCATTTTCTCCGTTTGTCATCGTCCTCCGCCCCTTTGACACGCTGCCACGTAACATGACCCAGGTGTGACTTCCTGGGCTCCCTGGGGTCCGGGAGAGGCCAGACTGGAGCCGGAAGCAGGGGCGAGAGCACCCCCCAAATCACCGACCCTCTGTCCCCGGCCCTGCTCCCCGAGGGGCTGAAAGAACAGCTTCCGTCTGTGCCGGTGGAGTTCTCAGAGCCGGGCACCTCGGGGTGGGGACCGGCCCCGTGTGCGAGAGGCCCCTTTTGCTGCAAGCCCCTCTCTGTCCCTCTCGGCCACTGCCCCCGGAGCGAGTTGGGCTGTGCCCAGGGGGAGCAGGGAGCCCGCCAGGTGGACCTGGAGCCCTGCCACGTGCCATGGGCGATCATTCAGAGAGCCCCCGCCCCTCCCTGCTCCCAAGGGGAGTCTGGAGGATTCCAGGATCTTGCGTCTCCAGTTGCTCAGACACGCGAGGCCCCTTGGCAGCCGCCCGCCCTAAGCCCGTCCTGGAGCAGAAAGTGCCTTTATCTCAGCCGTCCGCGCGAGCCACTCGGCCAGACACTGGGGCAGGTGAATGAGGGAGTTGTGTCTTCCCAGCCCGTCACCCCTTCCACGGGGCCACAGGTGCTGCTGACATGCCAGGAGCTGAGTGAGGATTTAAAGGGGGGAAAACTGTGCACCCCGCCCCTGACCCCCTGAATTTTGGAAAGGTCCAAATGAATCCAGCGGAGGAGCTGAGGGAGGAAGCCATGGAAGGTGCTGGAAGGGGGTGGGGGGCTGCAGGCTATGGCTTGGGCCAATGTCCACCCTGCCTGTGTGACTGGGGAGGTGTGTGTATGTGTGTGTCTGTCCGTTAGTCTCCGGTTTGGCCCATGACTGGGCTCTGGTTACAGTAACGCCCAGTCGGCCACCCCTGATACGTGCCCCTCCTGGCCCAGACTGTGCTGATTCTGTGACCCAAGGAAGTAGGCAGCCTCTTGTTGTCTGGGCCCCTGTACCCCCGGAGCCCATCATAGAGACTCCCAAAAAGGAGAGACAAGGGGTGGGTGCAGGCCAGGGCTATACAGCCCAGCTCCCTCCCTCTGTTCCCACAAGGGGACTAGCAGGGACCGTCCATGCCATGCACAGCTGACCAAAGTCCCTTTCTGCCTCCTGTTCCTCGTCTCCTGGGGAGAGGGAAGGGCCTGGCGAGATTCCACATAGGTGCACGTGTGTCCCCATGGTGCATCTGGCCGCAGGCAACAGGCTGGCTTCTTGCAGCCAAGAGAAGTGGGATGGGAGGGAGGGATCCCTGATGGGGGCGTGTGTGAGTGTGTGTGCAAGGAAGGCTAGGTGTCTTGCCCCACCCGAGAGAGGAGGGACCCTGCACCACGCCCCTCGGCAGGACAGTTGACTTGCCAACTTGCCGTGTTTTGCCAAAGTCCAGATCTCAAAGGACTTGTCCATGTCCAGCGCCGTCCCTAGCCTCGGTGTCACTTGGGGGGGGCGGGGGGGTAGCAGCATCCCAGCCCCGGGATGGCTTTGCTTTCCTCTGTAACCAGATTTTGAGCAATCGTTCGTGTCATCAGGCTCTGTCCCGCCATGGCCTTTTGCGACGTGCCTCCTGAGAAATTCGTCTCTTTTTGTATAAATAACGAAGTGTTGAAAATGTATTTCCTGAAATAAATGTTTCAAACGCAAACCTGGAAGTCCCCCACCCCGAGTGAGAATGTTTTCTGTTTTCTGCCCCCGCTGGCGGGCAGTTCCCCTTCTGGCCTCAGGATCAGTTTCAGGTAGAGAAAAGGCTCGGGTTTGGGTAAGAAAAGGTGGGGCCGGGTTGGAGCTTGAATTCAAACTCCAAGAATTAAAACAGAAAAGCTCCCGGGGAACTTAAGGATTCCAGAGCATTTCCTGAACAGAGTCCTTGCTAAGAGCAAAGAGAACATCAAAATGATTGCTGGGGAATTGTTGAATCTACTTAGGGGGAAAAAGAAGGTCCAGGGATTTGAGACCGAAAAGCAAATCTTAATCCATTCGTTAAAGGGGCAAGTTGGAAGGGCTTCCACTGGGGGGCGCTGTGAACTGCTGCTAGTTAGCATATTCTTGAAAATAGCATTTTTCCCCTATGAACTGGTCAGCATTTGACAGTTATTTTATGCCAACTTAACTCCTTCTGAGAGAACTTGACCCTAAATAGACTAGAAGTCACAAGGCTTGGCCGAGCAAGTTTTTCCTTTCAAGGACTGTGGGGGGTGAGGCGTGGGATCTCTGGTCTGGACGCCCCGGGGTCCACCTAGATCCTTTCTTTCACGTATACTGGTGTCCTGGGCTGCCGTGACAGGTACCTGTAAACTCCAGGGGTTAAAACGGCAGAAATGCATGTGCTCTCGGTTCCGCAGACCAAGAACCCAAGATCAGGGTGTCCCAGGGCCCCGCTTCCTCCAAAGGCCCCAGGGGAAGATCCTTCCTGCCTCTTCTGGTTTCTGGAGGCAGTCTTACTCCCATCTCTGCCTCTGTCTTTGTCCTTCTCTCTCCTTTTCTGTCTTTGGATTTAGGGTCTTTTTTTTTTCTTGAGTTAGAATCTCACTCTGTGCCCAGGCTGGAGTGCAGTGGCATGCTCACGGCCACTGGAGCCTCGACCTGCTGTGCTCAGACGATTCTTCCCCCTCAACCTTTAATTGCCACCACACCCAGCTTTTTTTTTTTTTTGGTAGAGATGAGGTCTCGCCATTCTGCCCAGGCTGGTCTTGAACCCCTGGGCTCAGGCAATCCTCTCACCTCTGCCTCCCAAAGTGCTGGGATTACAGATGTGAGCCGCTGTGCCCATCTTAATTCAGTTTGATCTCATTTCGGTCCTTAATGACAATACATCTGCAAAACCTTGTTTTCAGATCAGGTTGCGTTCTGGGGTCTGAGTGGATGTGAATTTGGTAGGGAGACACTGTTCAATCCCCCTAAACTCCCTTCCTGCATTTCAGGGCCTCTGGGTCAGCACGGGCTACAGAGGCTGGAAGCAGGGAAGCTGTGACCTGGGACTCTGCAGGCCTAGGTTCCGGGCTGACTCTTCCCCTCCTAAGCAGGGTGGCCTCAGGGCTGTCCCCACCCCTCGGGGCTCCCCCCAGCTCTCCAGCCTGGCACCTGGCTTCTGAAGTTTTGAGGGAGGAAGAGGAGTTTCATTTCCAAATGAATCAGTGGCTTACGGAGCCTCTGTGTCAAGGACTCGGGTTGTTGGGCTGCTGATGTCTTCCACGGGCACAGGAAGGGTGATCAGGTGAGCCCCCAAGGGTGGTGCCAGGCTGGAGCCCCTGACTCTAGGACCCTGCCAGCTCCGATGGCTTCGCCTATTCCCCACCTGTAGTTCTCGGCACTTCTTCCGTCTTGAAGCCATCACGCCCTTCCTCCAGACAGAACTATCCTCATACCCCCACTGCCCATCTGCTGTGCACAGGGGTCCTGCCCTCACTGACCTGACCCTCCCCAGGACCCCAGCTCCTCCCTACCTGGACCAGCACGGCTTCCCCAGCCAGCTCCCTGGCCCTAACAGCATGGTCCTCTGGCGGGCCAGACTGGCCATCCTCCTGCCCAGCCACCCTGTATCTCCCATCCCAGTGTTGGGGGAACCCCTTCCCCCACCCAGTCGGGCACATCTGTGGCTGCGGAACTTGGGTGATCACCTGTTCCCGTTTGTCCACAGATGAGTGCTTTCCAAGAACTTCCAGTGCTGAACTCAGACAAGTCCTGGGCATAGTGGACCTGTTGGCCACCCTGTGCAGAACTCCCATGCTACCCTGCGGCCCCTCCCATCCCCCTGAGGCCTGACCTCACACATTCAGCCTAGAGGTTCCTTAAGGGGCCTTGCAGCCCAGGCTGGGCTGTGTCCCAAGAAGGACCCAGGAAGAGCAGGGAGGCCCCAAGAACAGGCCTCCTGCTGGCTCTGAACACTGCGGAGGAGTGGGGTGTCCCGTGGCGGCTGTGAAGACGATGTGTCGCCGCTTCCTGTCCCGGCTCCAGCCTCCCCTGTTCTGGCTGCAGAGTCTGAAGCTGGAAAAATAAAATCTACCGGGAGCTTTGGGGCGTTTCCAAACCCAGTCCGGGAGTCCCTGCATCCCTGGGAGCTCAGGGTCAGGGAGCCTCCACAGTCGGTGGGCTCTACCTGGCTCCACCTGGGAGGCAACCGACAGAAATGGGGGACCCCAGCCGGGCTCGGTGGCTCAGCCTGTAATCCCGCGCCTTTGGGAGGCTGAGGTGAGTGGATTGCCTGAGCCCGCGGGTTCAAGACCCGCCTGGGCAGCAAGACCTCATCTCTACAATAAATCAAAAAAATCAGCCGGGCGTGGTAGCGCATGCCTGTAATTCCGGCTACTTCGAAGGCTGAGGCAGAAAGATCGCTGGAGCCCAGCAGGTCGAGGCTGCGGTGGCCGGGAGTGGCCACTGCACTCCAGTCTGGGCGACAGAGTGAGACTCCAACTCAAAAAAAAAAAAGAAATGGGGGACCCCACTAAGAGAGGCCATGCACCATCTCCTGGATCTGTGTTTATGGACGCCTCCTCCCATTGTCAAACATGGCTTTCTCACTATGAAAGTATAATAGCGTGTCCTATGTGGAAATGCCAGAAGAAGATAAAAAGCCCCTGCAATGCTCCCCCGTGGCCCTGACATGGGGGTGTCGGCCTCTGGTCTCCTTCCTGGTGCAACGTCTTAATCATTCTCATAACTGGGAAGAAATGGTCCCTGCGCATTGCTTTGCGCCCTGCTGGATCTGGTTTGGGGGGCACTAGAGCTCCGGGGGTGTAGGGGGGCTGCCCAGGAGGCCTGGGAGGGAGGAAGGTGGGCGCATGCTAGAAGGGAGGGATGAACCCCAGTGTGTCCCGCCGAGGGATCTGAAGACATCCGGGCCTGTGACTACCCCCATCCTGCTTACCCCCAGCAGGTGACCAGTCCCTTTCTGCTCC